GAAACACATGTGTGTGTGTGTGTGTGTGTGCGCTATATATACATATATACATATACGTAGGATATATATCTGCATTCGAAAGAATGAACTTATTAATCTTAACATTGATACTGCTTTGAATTGATTATTCGATAAACGAGAAATAGAAGAAGAAACGTTCTGTTCTGCTTTTTCTGAGATCCTATCAGGTACTATTACTATACTAACTAACTGCTATAACTACAATAACAAGGTACTATTACTACTACTACCAACGTTTATAGAGGTTACGTAGGAAATCTCAGGGTAGGATGGGGGAGGGTAGAGGTGGTGGAGGAAGGAGGAGAGAAAAAAAGGGGAGCAGAGAAACATTTCGCGAAAATTATTATTCACGCTCCGATAGTTCGCGTCACGTTACTCCCTCGTGTAAGTTTCCTCTCTCTTTCTCTCTCTCTCTCTCTCTCTCTCTCTCTCTCTCTCTCTCTCTCTCTCTCTCTCTCTCTCTCTCTCTCTCTCTCTCTCTCTCTCTCTCTCTCTCTCTCTTTCTCTCTTACACGATTTCCTGGTGGATATCATTAACGATCTAAGAGGATATCCCTAATATATTCATAACGAGAATGCTAATGTGTTATACTACGACTGGCAATAAATAATTAGAAGCTCGACGATTAATTCCAAGGATTATTATAATATTAATATAATATTAATTGTTTCGCAAAAAAATCAATATTCTTTTCTCTCTCTCTCTCTCTCTCTCTCTCTCTCTCTCTCTCTCTCTCTCTCTCTCTCTCTCTCTCTTCTTTCCCCCTGTCGCGTCCTTAAATATGACGCGCATACGATAATAATTTATATTATAATATTTGAAAAGGAAAAATATAAAATAATTAGAAATAAAGAAAAAACATAAAATTTTCTATTATACGAACGATGGAATATAATATTTGCATTTTTAATTATTTGCAAATATAAATATACTTTTTTAATAGATACGAATTGATACCTATTATATTATATTATATTATATATATATATATATATATATATATATATATATATAATTTCATCATTATACAATAGAAAATTTAATATTGTTTTATGAATTATATGGCTCGTGTCTTTCCTTTTTTATCATTCTCGAGGAAGATTTGATATTACATAATGGTTATCGTTGTTATTAAATAATAACGATGGGTGTCGGGATGGATTAAAGGATGCGGCGGGGAGATGGGAGGGGGGATGGTAGGGTGGGTGGGTAGGTATCATATTTAATAACGATCGATCAACTCGACAAAACGCCGTTAGACGCGCATCCGGAGGACAATGAAGTAGCTCGTTGCATTACGCATATCGTTAGAATGCGTGCGGTTATGCATTCAAGATGTATCGCGATGCATATTATTGTAAGTGGAACAAATATCCTTGATTAAACGTCTGCCTGGGGGAGACAGGCAATGAGACGGAGGGCTTAGTAGTGATAGTGGTGGTTGTGGTTCTGGCGGTGGTGTTAGTGGATGCTGATGGAAAAAGTGTAGGAGGAAGAGAAGGGAGAAGGAGCAAGAAGAGGAGGAGGAGGAGGAGGAGGAGGAGGAGGAGAAGGAGGAGGAGGAGGAAGAGGAGGAGAGCAGAGATCTATCAATACCACCTCTTCCCCTCTGTGTGTCTGCACTTGGCGTTAACACTCTGTATAATCACAGTGAAAAATGTTTAAACTAACTTGCATTTACAGAGAGAGAGAGAGAGAGAGAGAGAGAGAGAGAGAGAGAGAGAGAGAGAGAGAGAGAGAGAGAGAGAGAGAGAGAGAGAGAGAGAGAGGAAAGTGAAGGAAAAGAAAAATACATACACGAGTCTAATTTTCTTTCCCTGAAAATTATCATCAAAATATTCGTAAATATCGGGATCGTCGTACTCTAATTTATAATATTATTTATAGAAAGGAAAAACAAAAAGAAAAAAAGAAAGAAAAGGATTTCTCATAATTGAATCGGCACGGATGGACGCGCGTGTTAACTCTCGAAATAAAAGTGTCATTCACGTGCAAATAACATATCCGTGCCAGATAGACTGTATACATTTTTTTCTATATACGTACATAAGTAAATACATCATGTTTACTCATCAATGTATCGAACAAATTGCATCATAGCTTCGTATAATTGATAAATAAATCGTTATTACGTGAGCTCCTTTCAAAAGCACGTTCCTCGAGTTCTATCATTTATATCGACCTATGTATAATATATACATATGTATATATATATATATATATATATATATATATATATATATATATATATAATGTTTTAATGGACAACTTCGTGTTATTCCGGTTATAAATATTCTCGTTGGCTTTTTGTACGATGGAATTGAAAGGAAAGTTTGTATTGGAAAGTTCCTTCTCTCTCTTTCTAACTCTCTGATTCTCTGGCTCTGTCATCAGCTAACTAAAAAACGTGTCTCACACGGATGAATTCAAATTTTATAGGAAAAAACAAAAGTATCCAATTTCCCTAATTCCATAAACTTTTGAAACTTTTCAAGTTGAAATAGTTCGTACTTTGAAACGCTTTTTTAATATGAATAATCTCATTCAATTATGAAAACAAATAAAATTGATTATAATCCTTTGATAAGCTTGAATCTATGGTTACGTTTTAATTCAAATATTAAAATTCATTATTTGGATCATCTTTATCATTGAAGTCTCTTCGTTATTCTTGTCAATTTCACTCTCCTCTTTATTATCTATAAATGTCGTCAATCGAACTACATATATATATATATATATATATATATGCAATATATATATACAATATATATATGCAATATATATATACTGTATGTCCTTGGAGTTACTCGATCGAGCACAACAATTCGTTTCTCTATTTCGAATGGAATAGATATGAGTGGAAACATCCCGTAAAGCAAACCTTTTATCGTAATACTTTGCTGCGGGTTAGGAGACAATAATACCAGACACAATGATAGCTTCCGTAGAACTGTGAACAGGAAATGTTCAACAGTTTTCTCTCTTCCCCACACACCATCTCCTCTCTCTCTCTCTCTCTCTTTGTCTTTCTCTCTGTTTCTCTCTAGTTAATCTGAATAATCACCTTCGACAAAAATTACTAGATGGCCAGGATGGGAGGCTAATGGCGGATAGAGATCGTTTAAAAGCTCTCTTTCTCCCTTGGTGGAAATCTTTTCAAATATATCTCTATCATAAAATCCTATTTAACAGGTATTAGAAGATTTATATGATAAAGAGAAAAAAATAATTATTGTTCGCTTTGATAAAACGCGATAAAAGAGATAGACATAACAATATAATTGAATTTGTTCGTACAAAAGCTGATCGAATTTACTCGATGCGTCAGCAATTTCTTCTCTAAAGAGTGAATCATAATTGCAATTTATCTGTAAAGTATATAAGCTAGTTCTCTGTCTTCGTTCTTTGTTCTTACTTACGTATACCAATTAAACCAACCAACCGAACAAGTCGGAACGCTAAAGAATAATATATTCGAAACGAGTTACGAGATTTTCTTTAACAACTAATTTATATGTAATACTCTCTGCGAAGATAAGGAAAAAAAAAAACAAAAAAAAAACAAAAAAAAAAAAAACAAAAAAGAAAACAAAGAAAGAAAAAAAAACAGTATAAGAGACACGTGTTGAATGTGCCTACTTAATCGGGATACAATAACAACAACGAAGACGAGAACGATAAAGATTGAAACAGTGATTAATTTAATGACATTTAATTCTTTGGAATGCGGTTCATATCTACCTCATTCTCCTTCCCTCCCTCTTCCTATCCGCCGCGATATAGTAAGCTTTGTAATTAGAGAACAGTTCAAAAACCGGTAATTTCGTTTCTTTTTTCTTCTTTTTTCTTAAGACACCAAAAAACTCAATTTCCAAAGTATAAATCTCGATAAAATTATACAGGTGCGTGAGTGTTAAGGGGCGATTATAAAATATTTAAAGAAATGAATTCGAAAAGGATAGAGAATAGGAGATAGGATAGGATAGGATAAGATAGGGGGCCAGGGAGGGGGAGGGGAAAAGGAAAGGAAACAATTGATATTATTAAGATATCGAATGATAATGAAACTAAGTGGAATAAGGAGTATCGATGTATGTAATATATAATATAAATTATTACATAAACGAATACACCGCGGAATCATTACGGTAAGTGGAATTTGTATACGGTAGATAATACTATCAACGTGAACGAGTCTCGAACGTCACGAAAGTAGCCGCGAGATGTGCCTTACAGTAAAATGGTTCCGGATTATGGACTCGTTTTACGTGAACTTCCTTACCGTGTTTCATAATCGCGTGTCGAGTCAGCCAACCAACCAACCAGTCAGCCAGCCAGCCAGCCAGCCAGCCGGCCAGCCAGCCAGCCAGCCAACCAACTAACCAGCCAACCAAGCTAACTCGTTTTACTCACTCGTATAAGGATTGTTCTCTTTTGGTTAAATATCTTATTACGTATTATAATACACATGGCAATATTTCTAAAACAACTTTGTCTTATTTCCATCGTGATAAGTGTTTACGCACGCTAATAACTGTTTACGCACGTGTAAACACTTCTCGATGAATGAATGAAACATAGAAGCGAGGAAGAAAGTTGGCACATTGGCTACGTGATTATTTAGTTAAAATCGACCGATCGTTTGTCGACACAATTACTTTTCGATATAATGTCAATCTCTTTTATCGGCAAACTAAATGGCACTGATAAACGTACGGTGATTTAATATTTACTCACCATTATATTTACATAAAGATATTTACATCTTCATCGTCACTTTAAATTGTTATTCTGAACGTTAATTTGAATCAATGAATGTTTGGAATGTTTATTTTTTTTTAAATCGATCATTGATACAATCCATTCACTCATAGGAAATTGTATTAAATATTATCGTTTTTATTGTTATTGTTAATTTTAATTATTTTATTTTTGTTAAATTTCTTTCTTTTCTTTTTCTCTCTCTCTCACACAGATGTCTTGGCAAAAAGACTATCTTTCTGTGGGACTAATCGGTGTCCTTCTATTACTGACGTACGCTGACAACAGCGTACACATATCGTCGAAGTACGGTCAACTCGTTACTTCGAGTACTTTGAATTGGCTCCCACGTGCGCATTATGATTCTTCGAAGCAGATCGTGGTCGGTGGTTTTCAGATTCCTCGTGAAACCGAAGGTACGAATAAAATATTATTAGGATATTAGAAAATATATCGTGTAATATTTTTAAATAAATTCTTTATAAAGAATGAATGAATAAATGAATGAATGTATTAATTAATTAATTATTTAATGAATTAATTACAGAGGATCCAATGGCGTCTAATAGTGCGCCTCTGAATAGACCGAACCCGTTCAAAAGGCCGTTACACGTATGCCGTGCATTGCACAATGGTGTGTGGGTATCCGGAACTCAATTGGGAGATGAAAAACGTTGCACAGTATCGATACACGGTAACGTTCGTTCGTACGAGAAATACGATCTCCTTGAAAACGTTGACAATGCAGCAAGAGTTAGCTGGCGACATTGGGACATATATACTCCGTTACCCGTGGGAGCTGTAGCCACGGACAAAATGTATGTTGCAAGGTACGAGGTATCCAATAATGAGGCAAATCCAAAATTGCCCTATACTTATACCCATTACATAGGAACCATGAATATGAATGGTAATTTCGGCACAATCTTCTACGTTAAAGACGTAAGTTTTATTTTATCAATGTAATATCTCCACTGTCTAATTGATTTTTAATATGGAAATTAAATTGAAGAGATTTTATTTCATTTTATATTTTATTTTTACTTCATTCCTTTTTCAGAATGGTATTGAAAATACAGCGAAATTTTGCGAAGTCCTTGTCGAGACCGAACCGATATATTACGAACTTAGCGGTGTCAGATTGAACTGGTCGAAAAAACGAGTGATAAAACGTACACAACGCTTGCTCTGGACAGGTACGCTGAAAAACGATGCCGAGAAAGGTTCGAAACTGGCAGAAGCTGTTGCGTACTCGTATAACTACTCGATGTACTGGGGTCAGGGTCATGCTATTTTAAAGGGTTTAAATACTTCGATTTTGTTATATAATGGAACGAATTTACCTCATATCATTTGGGGTATCGAGGAAAGGGAGTCTCGTACCGAAGTGCAAGAGTATGTATTATATGCGTCTTTTCTCTTTTTGTAAATTATTATTTATTTATTTATTTATTTATTTATTTATTTATTTATTTATTTATTTAATTTATGTTACATACTCAATCATAATTATATTTTCTTTTATTTTTCTCACACAATAGGATAAAAATCTATTTGGAACCTGGTACTGGCGTAAATGTCACTCTAAAAGCTAACTATACCGACATGGAAGTTCCATATACCGGAGAACTGGTTTCTCATTACGAGGACAAGGTCACTACATCAAGAGTGATCAATGGCATTCGTAGGGAGGAAACCTTGCTCGACATTAAGCCAGAATTCGGACCTATCTATTTCCTGAAAGATTATAGTCTAGCTCCTACGACTACACCACCGCCTGTCGTTACAGAACCTACTACCACAACTATCAAAGTCACTTACGACGAGGCCAAAGAAATTAGACAGCCTAAGATGGATGATTCAGGATTAGATGAGAACATGATCGTTGTACCTAAGACATCGGACACATCGAACATGCAAGGCGACGATGGAGGTCCGTTGTCCCTTCAAAATAAAATCGAAACAGTATACTCCGGTGTGTCCTCGCTAGAAATGTCCTGTTCATTGATTTTATCTCTAACGACGATCGTCATCAATAGGATCGCGTGAACATTCGTAATATGAATCTCTTTAAATTAAGATAAAAAAAGAAAAAAAAGTAAATAAATAAATAAATAAATAAAATAAAATAAAATAAAATAAAAAAATAACATAATAGTAATATATTATATGTAGAACAGAACGGAGAGAAGAAAAAGGAAAAAATAAAAAAAAAAGAAAATAAGTACATAAAGAAGAAAACGATGAAAAAGATGAAGAAAAAAAAAATGATAAAAGAAAAAGAAAATAACACGAGAAAAAAATGATTATTGCTGTAATTTCATATATAGCGATTATAATAATAGCACGAAAAAAGATAAGTCCCTTTCTCGCGCCTCTACTCCACGTGGATAGGAGGACAAGAATTCGGATGAGATGTGCTTGCCTTTACGAAAACTTGGTCTGTATATCAAGTTGATATAATTACACACACACACACACACATATATATATATATATATATATATATATATATATGTATATATATATATACGCGCACGCGCGAAGACTAGTGAAGAAATATAGTTTGATGAGCTAGTTTCACAACATAAAAAAAAGTCTTAAGTACAAGCAATCGCATCGTATGTTAACATTAAACTCGTTAACATCGACTATAATATCATACCAAATGCAAATATCGTACTTTGTCCTTTTTAATTCAGCTGTGAAACGAATCTTCTATCTAACTATTTCATGCCTTTTGCGAACAGCAATGTTAGACCATTATAGAAGACTTAAAAGCTTTGAGATAATAATGTCTCCATTGAGAGGGATGTTCAAAGAAATCCTAGCTATTGCTAATGCAAATGCTATCTTGGACAACTCGCTTTATGCAGAAAGAATAAATTGAATTTGGAGGATGGATATGCGCAAATTAATGATGAAGCCATTATATATTTTTGAGATTGTGGTACAATTTTAGAAGAATGTAAGATTTATAAAACGATAGTGGTAAGAGAACACATAGAGTAGAGGTGAAGGGCTACGGATAATTTTTATCGATTCAATTTGATTTGAAGATTTCAGTTCAAATTAAATTCTTTATATTAGGACGTTTAATTTTTTACTTCTAATTTATTTCAACCTGACAAATTATCACTTTTATTATTATAAATTGAGGTTCATTATTGTTTGACAAATGTAATGGAATGTTAACTTCGCTATGAAAGAGATATTGCTAAGCATAAGCCGCTAAAACCATTTTTAAGCGATAATCCTTGCGGATTCCTAAAATACTATATATATTTATATATAGTATATATATAAAAAAAATCTCTATGAAAAAGAATATCTACAGAAAAATAAGAAAAGAAGAAAAAAAAAACAATAACAGAAGCATATAAAACTTTCATTGATATGAGCATAATTGTAATTGATAAGGCTGAAATGTTCCTTTGAAAAATGTGAAGAATTCATAGAATTATTTAAATCGGTGTGTTAATTTTGTGATTTTCAATATTAGAAAAGAAGATACAGAGGAAAGAGAGACGACATTATTTACGTGAATTCTACATTACTCACAAAATGTTTATTGATATTAATATATAAATAATAAACATTTATATACAGTCTCGATAGTTGCAACAAACTATTGTAGTCAGCTTATTTATCTGTTTACAGTTTTTCTATAAAGAATAGCTTTAAAGTACAATATTATTATATAATTTACTATAAGTTAAATAACACTGAAGCAAAATGAATTCGATTTGGATTCATGCGATATATTCTGTACAGATGTACAGAAATATAATATGCATTCCATGAGTTAATAATATTAATAATAATATTAATAATAATAATAATGATAATAATATAAAAATAATAATAATCAATATAGGAAGCAATAATTTGCTGCAAAGTGAATGTGTAGTATTGTGAGCTTTACAAAATTCTGTCTTTGAGATAAAAAAAAAAGAAGTATAAAATATATAAAGAAAAAAAATAAAAATAAAAAAAAAAAAGAACATATAAACAGTGCAAACCAATACTCGTACGATCAACAACTAATTTCACTTTTAAATTGAAAAATTGAAAAGGGCAAGTTATGATATATCAAATATAAATTAATTTTGAAAAACATGCTTTAAAAGAATATACTTTTAAAAAGTAATAAAAGCTATGCATGAATGACATATATATTTGACATAAAAAAATTTATTTATTCAAGAGCTACTCCTCTGGATCTGTATGTTAATAATAGAATATGAATAAATATGATTCCAATGCGAGGCAGAGGTTTTAATAATGCCAAAAATTAATCTGTAAGTTTATGACAACTTCTATGTTTAGCAAATACTTTATTTGTGAATAAGCTGCTGCATTGTACATCATCATGTAAATATAAATGCAATGCAATATATGTATAAATAAATATCTGGATATATTAATATTTTCTTAATGTATCAGTAAAATGATACATATCTGCATGTTTGTTACCTCCTATTTTATATTATTTCATTAATTATTTGGCTTATATCTTTGATATAAATATTGTTTAATGTAATTAAAATTTAACAAATAATATAAATGAAAAATATAATAGTATGGACAGAAAATATATTAAATTTTATGCATATATATTAATACATTTTTAATGAGAAAAAAATCATACGAATCGTCTGAAGTTAATTTTATGATTTTAGTAATAAATGACTTACCTAGGACACCATATTGCTGCGGAGTTAATCTAACATCACCTTCAGTACCTTCTGGTAAAGGTGAAATTAACGACGCACGCTCGCTAATATGACTTCTACTACTTGCTTCACTTCTTCTGGCCCATGATACTTGAGATAACGCATCTACAACACCAAAATATATATAATAATTAGTTATGAAGTATGCAAGTAACAATACAATACAAGAATATATCACAAGCAATAAATCTATTATTCAATTGAATGATGATGATCTTAATTAAATCAAATAAAGCTACATTATAAGTGAAAATTAAATAGATAAAAAAAAAATTTTTAAGATGGAAATATTACCAAAATTAGATTTAGCATTGGCAAATCTTTGTTTTAAATCCCTTATGGATTTTTTAGAAGGAGGCAATGGAAGTCTTCGCCTTCTTTTTAAAAACTGTGCCAAACCACCGAGCAACAGTGAACCTCCAGTCAGACAAATGATAAAAATCTAGAAAAATATAGAACACAGTGGATTGTCATATCATTTTATAACTTAACCTATACTTAATTATTATTAAAAAATTAGAAACAAGAAAAATAATTGATGAATTAACATTATTATATAATGTTCAAAGATTCCAAGTTACAATCATTCTAACCTATGAAAATGATATTCTCTAACCTTTTGCGTTCTAGATAAATTAAATGCCGGAAAGAAAGTTACGTAACGTGAGTATAATGTTCCCAAAAATTGTCGCGTATTAAAAATAGACATCGTCGACGTTAATGCATATAAATAATAACATTCAATTCTAGTACATACAAAAGCTAATGAAATGCGAAAAACACTCGCGGCGTGCTCGCAGTAGTGCAACTAAGAGCATGATCACTGAAATTACAGATGGCGCTGGTTTCGTTTCATTTTCGTCGATTTGAATAAAGTATAATCATGCGTCTTCATTAATACGTTTTTATTAATCATATTTAATTTATGATAATCAATAATTTATCAATTTTTTTAATAGTCTCGTATTAAGTGTATGGTTAAATTATAAATTTCAGCGAAATAAATAAAACTTATGTTAAAAATTGACCGATACATTAATTGCAATTAAAAAATAATGCTATTTGAAATATGTTATATATTATAAATTGAAATCACTACGTTGATCAAATAAAAAATACAAATACTTTATAAGTATTTATAAAATGTAGAATAAAACAATAGTTAAATTGTCATATTCTATAAAATGCAAGGCGCGTTATATAAGAAAAAATTTTAAATTAACATTTCGACAGATATAAATATCCAGATCAGCTTCGTAATAATTATACTTTCCCATATATCTATAATTATTTAAGCAATATTACATTATTTAAGCAATGTACATGAAGTATAATAAACTAATATTTAAACAATATTACATTCGCTTAAACAAAAATCGTAACGCGCTAAAAACATGAAATAATTTTAATATAAAATTTCAACAATATAAAATTTTATTTCGTGATTGTTGGCCAGCATGCAGTATAAACGTAAACGGTCCTTTGATTAACTTTGAAAATTAGTTAGTTTCCTTTTGCATTTCAACTAGTGCACATTGATTGTCTTTCTCTTTCTATGCGTGGAAACATAAATTAATAATTTTGGTAAGTTTATAATTTTTTTAACAAAATAAGTGTACATGTGGTACAATAAAGTAATATTTAAAGAACAGTATATTCGTTTAAACATTATAAAGACGATAACGCGTAAAAAACTTAAAATAATAAAAATTTTTACGTTAACAAAATTAAATCTCTGATCGACTTCGACTGTTACTGAATTAATCTTCCTTTGGATTCCGACGAATAATCATCGAAGCTCTCTCAGGATATCTTTCCTGCATAGTAACAAATGAAGACTTAAAGTAAGTATATTTCTTTATCATACATTTCTTGAATTAATCTCTACAGTTTTTTATTATAACAGTATTACTAATTATTTTGTTTGTATTTTTCTGTTTTAGAACTTCATTGTAATCGTGCGAGTAGCAATGAAATAATCGAATGTTTTTATCGCTAAAATAAAAATATCGTCAAATAGAAAGCAGTGTTTGTTCGTTCGCGCTTCACGATTTAAATAGAAAATGTATTTGCATCGACTGCGTGCAATGCAATTCTTAGAGTCAGTGTTTGTTCGCAAAATGTTTTGCTCTTTTAACAGTCGCACAGACTGTATTTATAAAAGACAGTAGAATTTCGCGAAGTAAATTCAGTGACCATTCATTAAAAAATATTTATCGTGTAATAAAGTCAGTGTATCATTGAAGAGGATTCTTAATCAACTTCGTTGTCGACCTATCTAATTTTAAAGAATCATCCACCCTCAATTTCGACTTAAATCACGGACAAGCGTTTTGGAGCCATCGCAGAACTTCTAAAGTAGTAAGTAAATTTTTAAATCCCTTCGATCACTCAATCATGTCGAGTCTTTGGATTACAAATAATACCGTGCATGATTTTATAATAATTAAAAACTAATTACAAATTATCGTTTGCAAAAAAAGGTACGTCCAAGGGTTTGCTTTATATTTTTAAATAACAATGAATTAAATATTTAATCAATTTGAATTGATAAAAGAAAAGTCTCGATAGAGCCATTGTTTTTGAAGGAGAAAAGTCAAGTAGAATTATTGCTTAAAAAAAAGCAAAGAGACTTGTAGAATCATAATCATAGGCCTAGATAATAAATTAATTAATTTTTAGCTTAGAATTTTCAGCAATTAATATAACTCATTATAATATATTCAAGATAAGGATTATACTTTCCAGATAGGTTAGAGTTGCGTAATGGTTTTCTTTTATATCTTAGAATTTTAAACGAAATTTTGTCGTTACAGTTTTTAAGTAATAATCGATTAATTTAGGGCACGAAGTAAAGAAGAGGCTATATGCCGAAAAGGTGGCTCATAAAATGTGGCTCAAGAGGGCAATTATTAGGCTATCGAGTTATTTTCAAAGGTTTCAAAGAACCTTTCGAGAATAAAACTCTTAGTCATATTTTAATTTTGTCACTCAAAATGCTCTTTATGGTAATGGGAGTATGATGTAGGGGATTGTATAATGATGGGGGTATGATGTAGGGGGTTGTAGATTTGAAAAACTGAGATAACGTAAAATTTCGTTTCCGGTCTCATATTGCCACACGCGTACGCAAATAGGATTATTTTATATTTTATGCATTTTTAGTATTAAAATCAAGACATAAATTTTACACATTTTCTCTTTTCTAAAGTTCAATTAAATTTATAATTCTATTTTAATAAAATTAAATTTTAGGTTAAAGTCGATTGATAAATTTTGCACATTTTCTCTTTCCCAAAGTTCAATTAAATTCATAATTTTATTTTAATAAAATCGAGTTATATGTTAAAATCATATATCTATGAAATGTAAAAGATATGGCAATTATGGGGATTATTAAAAGTGCATTGAATAAAGATGTACATAGAACTGAAACCAATAAAACGGGATGTGTACCAAGTTCATCAAATTTTGCCACTTGTTGTTACTAATATAATATTTCTTTAGATCAGTATTCAGAATTTTTCATTTCTTTTTTATTTTTTTTTTTTTTTATCTTTTATTCTTCTTAAGTTAAATTGAATTAAATTCAGAATTCTATCGTTCACATAATTAATATACATATATAAATATTTTTTCTTCTTGCCTTATTTCTTTTCAGGTAATTCCAAGTCGTGAGATTGCGAATTCGGAAAGATATCATTAATAAATAAAATTATTTTATTAACATTTAAACAACGTACGATATATATAAAGTATTATTAATATTTAATTAATATTTAAACAATAAGATATTCTAAGCAACATTATAAAAATCATATACATGTACTGTTATATATTATCGATTAATAGATATATTATAGATTGAAAATAGAAACGCACAGAAAACTTTTCTATCGCACTTATGTTCACATTTATTCTAATTTATTCTTAATAATTTTTATTTATAAATTTCAGGTAGGATCCATGGAGAAATGGATCCATGGATATGAGCTGTTGTCTCAGCATCGTATAGAAAACTGCTTCTCTTTTCTTCTATATTTCTGAATCTTTTTTCATTTCTTTCTGCAGTTCTCTTTTCTTTTCTTTCTCCGGTTCTCTTTTCTATCTCATATTTTTCTTTCTTACTTACTCTTATCAATTATGATTTATAAGTCTCGGGTAGGAGCCGATGAGATGGCCATGGGCTTTTGTGCGGACTACTGTCTCAATATCGTGTAAAGCTGTTTCCCATTTCTTTTTTTTCTCCAACTCTTCATTTCTATCTCATATTTCTGTTCTTTCTCTTCTTCATTTTCTGATTTTGTTCGATTCGAGTGGTATTCAATATGTCCACCTTTTGTTTATGCGTTTCATCGTTATCAGCGTGCGCGCACGTTCCAGTTCTCTTTTCTTATCTTTCTTCAGCTATCTTTTCTTTCTCATATTTTCACTCTTTCTCTTCCTCATTTTCTTTGTGTTTTATTTTTTTTTCTTTTTTCCAGATATCTTCGAGGGATAGATTCATTCATCGATTTTTACACGAGAGAAAGATAGGGAGAACACTCGCACGCGTGTCGGCGGACAAATGCGTGGGTATTCGCGGGTGCGTTTATAAGTCTTACCGGGGACTTGGTTTTATCTGCTCGAAAATCCGATTAGATTACGTTGCAAATTTTAAAGTAGAATCACCGCTTTTTCTAACATTTGCGTGGGTGTCCGGGCACGTTTAAAAGTCTTACCATGGACTTCGTTTTATTGTTTGAAATTCAGGGTGCGCGAACGGTGTCACCTTGTAGTGCTGTACATGTAGCTAGCCGATGTTATGACGATCCTGTTATTTCTAAACAGGGTATCATCCCTCGACCAAATAACGTTGAAAGTCAAAATACCGATTAACTCATGTCACCTCGGATTTTAACTTAGAGTCACCGTTATACTAACACTCATATGAGTATTAAGTGGACGCGATTAAAAATCCTACTGAGGATTACCCTTTTACTGTTCGAAATTAGAAAAGCACGATGAACGATCGTGCTTAACAATCCATTATGTCTGAAGTTTCGATGTTGGGCGGTGGAACTATCTGTAAGAGGTGTCCAATATATCTCCTGTTAATTAAGAAGCCTGAAAACACCCGAAGCTGAATAGGAATCGGTATCGCGGAACGTGGATTTTAGAGTAGAGTCAGCGTTAGTCCGTGAGTCTCCATATCCAGCAACTTCTACGTAGTAAAACCTTGGTCGGTGTTAGTTGCAAAGTCTAATTGTAAATCATATAACGCAAAGTACTACCAAAAGAATGGTTCCATGTCTTTACGCGTTTCAAAACTGGTTTTTTTTTTTCATATTTATCTAGAAATTAAAATATTCTCATTGCTAATCGTTCTACAACAGATAAAAATAAGATTAGACTTAAAAATATTCTAAAGTAATATTCTTCCGTACAAGTAAAATAGAATGCAAAAGCCTATCATTAGAAAATATTCCTTACCAAATTATTTATACAAAAATTATAAATAATATTCGATTAGCATTAAAAATTATAAAAGAATTATCACTATAATATTAATGATAATTAATAAATTTACAAAATCTAATTCTAAATCTCTTCTTATTTAACAAGCTAGATCATCGAAAAGTATAATCTGGCATATGATTTTTTCTTACTTTTGTTAGATGTACTATTATCCTTATTAAATAAAAAAATTTCTGTCACGCATTATCTCAATTATTTGGTTGCGTGTTAAGACAGATTAATCTACTCGATCTTATATACGGATACAGTAGGTGTATAATGGGAACAAGTGTTCCCTATTGCGTTTCTAGCGCAATTATGGTTGTAG